CTATGTTTAGCAAAAATTATGTTTCTAAATGTGTAAGCTTAAGTCTTCTAGAATATTCACTTATGTAAACCATCTCATTTCCTTATGCCAAACAGACTAGACTTACCACCCTCTCGTCTGAACGTTTTAGCACAGGGCTGCTTGTCCCCCACCTAAAATGCCCAATGTGGTATCTTTTCACAAGTCACGAAAGTGGAATGATGACCCTGTTCTAGGTAACATCGCCAAGCTATCTTTTTCTTTCTCACTCAGAGAAATTTCTAGGTAAAAGATTTTTTGTTATAAGAGTGAAATTACTTAGCTAGTTCTGGAGCTACTGAAGGACCCAGGCCTAGGAGGTGGGTCTGCTGTGTTTTCCTCGCGGGACCCTGCAGTTTCTTCGAACTCAGCCCTGGGCTGCTGTATCGCTTAGCTCCCTCACCTGCCCGGGAGATGCTGCAGCTGATATTTATATAATTCACAATCATTTTCCAGGCCCCTGCAGCACCCACTGTGCTCTTTACCTTGAGTTTCACCAGGGCAAGGACACGATCACTCAGCTTCCGTTCAAACTCACTGCCACACTCCCTTGCACCTGTTCTCCTCGTTGGCGACCCAGAACTGTCTTTTCCTCCACAGCAAGTTCAGTCACAGTGGGGGAGGTTTCTACCGTGAACATTCACGGAAAAGTTTGTCAGACTAATTTAATTAGAAATAGAAGTTATTTTCCATTGTCTCTGCTTCTGTAAGCCGTCCAAAGAATGAAAAGAAAGCTTGAGAAGAGCTGTGTCCCCTGTGACAAGTGTGCTTTACTGTTGCTTCCCATCAATGACACTGCTTCTCTTGGGGAGTGGCCGGGCAGGGGGTGCTGCGATGGCACCGCACCAGCTGGGCCGTGTACCTTCCTTGTTACTTTGATGATCTTTCTTGGAAGGCGTGTGTGGCAGAGGAAATTTTAGTATCGTTCTTTTCAGTTCTGAGAATTTCCCCTTGGCCTTTCAGCTCCCTCTTTTCTGCGTCTGAAGTCGTTTGTGTTTGTGTTTGCATCTACCTTCTTGTACTGCGTGCGGCCACCAGAATTTCTCAGTCTCTGGTTAGCGCTTTCCTCCCCACCCTGCCACCAACCATCTCCTGTCATTTTGCTCCCCTCGACCTTGACCTTCACCTAAATCGTTCTCTGCCACCTGTCCCCTTCCATGTGCTCGGCTTTAACACCAGCCCAGAACAAACACGCCCTTTCTCTCACTAAATAAACTGCTTTCAATAAGCCTCTCCCAACCCCCTAAACAAATAACATCCCATAATCTACCTCATTCTAAAATATTGCTTTTCATAACCTCCAACCACTGGCTCCCTTTCTCCCCTCGAAGAAATAAACTGCCTTCAGTGTCTCATCTTATTTGGACACTGAGCTACCTCGCTGGCATCATAAAACACACACACACACACACACACACACACACACGCACGCACGCACCTTCCCAAACAGAGAAAAATTACTCAATCCATTCTTTTGCTTTCCCTTCCTCTGAGAAAGGAAACTTTTCATGAGATCTATAAGTACACATTTCTGTCTCTCGGAGGACTTTTCCCCCCAGGGAAATCAGCTCAGGAGAAATGCAGTAAGTCATTCCAAGGCCAAACACATTCTACTGTTTATTACACATATTACATTCTTAAATAAAAATGCGTCACATAACATTTTTTGCATAGATATCTTACAATATACCAATTTAAAAAAGAATTATGAAACAGACCAGTAACAAAAATAAATTTTTTCTTCATTAATAATTTTGTAACATTAACATACCACCATCATATAATACAAATAATAGTTTTAAATCTTAAGACTTTTGTACAGCAAAAAAACTTGACAAAGTAATATATTTATATATATATATAAAAAGCTTAAAAAAAATAAAATGTCAAAAAAAGGCATAACCGAGGGCTATAAGACTGGGTACTTCTGTGATATATTATAAATACCAGAGAAGGCCTGAGAGAATGTGACGGGGGGAGGAGGGGGAGGGAAGGGGCTGGGAGTAGGTCTCTCCAAACACACTTGTTAAACACATCTGGCAAAAAGAAAATGTATAGTGCAAAAAGAAATTGCTTCAAGCAACTGTGAAGAGGATCATAAAGATTTGAAAGAAAAGTCATGGTGGTCGGGGAGTTGTACGATGGACGGAGGAAGTGGGAGAAGGAGTGTGGGGAGGGGCTGTGGAAATGAAGGGGAGGCTTCAAAAGCATTAAACATTTATTTTTGCCTCTGTGTGTTAGCAAGGAGATCTTGGCCATAACAGGTGTATTTTTCCTCCCTGGAATGAAGGAGAAGTGAAAGATAAGGAAATTAAATTAAATCTGTGTGTAGATAGGAAATGCATGCTGGGAAGAAGAAAAAAAAAGGTTGAGAACCAGCCAATGAGCCCTAAAGCCTTTAGGACCTAGGTGTGCAGAAATCATTCTGCCTCCCGTCCAAAGGCCTGGGATTAAAATGTCCCCTCTCCCCACCCACAGCCCCTCCCCTCTATGTGGAACTCCCAGTGTGGTTTCGATTTACTGGCGATTATAAGCATCCATCCCCCCCCAAAAGGTATTAGGCACTGGTGGCTACTCCTCTGAAACGTCAGTAGCCTGTTTTCCTTCTGCGAAGGTACGACAGGTGCATGTGCACACCTGTCTAAGGTGTGTGCATACATACCACCCTCATTATTCTGACGTGGGGTCCATTTTATGGCAGTAGACAGAAGCTGGAGTCAAAGCAATTTACGATTCCAAAGCTCACAGTTGAAAAAAAATCGTATAAACAGTCCCCAAGAAAGAACGTATCAACCTTCCCTCCTGACCACTGAGAGGGAGCCCTGTGTGAAAAGAGCATCTCGTTTGGGATATTTGTGAAGTGATGGCCCAAGATTTCTCTCTCCATCTTTGATACCTGTTCCCCCCCCCCCCCAGGACTTTTATGGAAACGCAAAACATCTGAAAAGTACAGTACCATACGGGAAGGTGCGCAGAAGAGAGCTAAATTGCAGTTGTCCCTTTTCTGGGATCTATTAGGAGCCACCAGAGGAGATTTAAGAGTGTTAAAAGCAAGAGAAAACCCTGAAGCCTGGGAAGTTAGTCACAGGATGTCACGTCATTTACAAGCACTTTTTGTTCCTTTGACACATTTCTGCTGTTTCATCTCAAGTATTCCCAAAGACCCTCATTGAGGAAAGTAGGCCTGTCCTCAAGGCCAAAGAGGCCTTGATGTATACTCAGAATAGACCCTCTAGTTTTCAACTGAGATATCACCATGTTTACCGAACTTCATCCAGACACCCAGAATCCGAGTCCTCCCTTATCTCTCCCTAACTCCTGCGCTTGGCAGGTGGCCACTTCTAGAAAATGCAAGGAAAAGCTTCCACGAGTGAATTTCAACCAGGTTCTACTTACTGAATGTTCACTTTGGCAATGTTCTGGGTGCAAAATTGCTCCTGGTTAAGACTTTTTTTCCTTCTTTCTTTTTTTTTTTTTTTAAGAAGAAACAATAGACCTGGTTTCTGCAGTTAAAAGTGTTGGAGCTCTTTGACTCTTCCCTGTTTTTTTCCTTCTCCTAAAAACAACTCATGCAAGAGAAGACAAAAGCACTTCCCACTTTACATTTTACAAAGTGACTCCCATAGAGGAAATCACTTGGAGCTAATCATCAGGTTTTGTTTCTACAATTTGAGTTGGTTTTTTTTTTTTTTTTTTTTCCTTTTGGCTTTGCTCTAGAATGCAGGAGTGGAGGCAGAATGTTTCTGAATGAACTAGGAGAGCCATCCCAAAGCGCCATTTATTTCTCCTCTGAGGCAAACAGACATAATAATCTGGAAAGACTATCCCAAACTAAAGTCCTTAAAAAATCTTCTCTGCCTTCAAAGATTTTTTAACGCTAGAATTCAGTTCTGCTAATCACACATGAGGTTGGCTGTCTGTCTTTTTACCCTGTTAGAATCAGGCAATCAAAGATGCAAAAGGGCACAAGAGGTGCAGGTGGGGAGAAGCTGGCCTTCAGAGAAGGGAGTATTCCTAGGGCTTGGCCAGGGAAAGCACATAGAGAGGAGGAACCGGTCAGCATGAAGCTCATTTGGGGGTTGCCGATATTTTTACAAAATGCAGCTTTGTCATGGAATCAGAACATCTCTTTTTCTGGACATAATACTCATCACTACCAGGCAATAAGCTGGGCCAAGTATCCATTAGTGGGGCAGGAGGCCAGTGACTAGGAGCAGCATTATGACTTCAGGTTTCCAGGTCTCTGATGTACAGCCATGTGGTAGGGGAAAGAAGCATAACTTGAACTAAAGAAAATGGTCCCTGGCTTAGAAACTCTTTTTCTACACACCTGACTGTGAACCCTGGATAAGGAGTACTTGTGAGCACAACCACAAGAAACCCCAGACCAGATTGTTCTTTCAAATTTGAGATCCCCAGGAATGTTAGGAGGTAACAGCTTAGAGAAGAAAGGGGTTTCATGTGAGCCAAATGTCCATTAAAGCACTTTTTAAAATAACCAGGCCTCTTGGGAGCAAAATGCCTTCAGGTTATTTCTCGGAAAACCTGTTCCCTCTAGAGGCTCTTAGCAACCATCTCTTCCATTTCAGAGGTGATGGACATGCTATCACAAATCTATTTCCAAAACGATCGAGGCTACCCCCACCCCAAGGATAGGACTGGTCATCATCCACAGGTGTCACCTGGGCTAAAGAAGAACAGTTTCAAAGCCATCCACTTAGCACCCACCAAATCTTAGGCCAATTCGCAGTCAATGAATGACTCCGAAGCCAGCAAGCACCACCACGGAGCTTCAGTGCACCCTGCTCTTGAGGAAAGTCAGGAGCAGATTACAAAGGACTTCACTGACACAAAAGATAGAGAAATTACCAAACATTTCAGACACAGATGAGGACCAAAGGGTCTTTGTTCTGCCACATTCAAATGAGACCACAGATGACAACAGGGAGCAAACAAGCAATGATTACTCTTTTGCATTTTTTAACGTTCTTTTTAATAGAGCCTTGCATTGGTCAGTTCAAAAATTAAATTAAGTATTATAAACCCTTAATAATAGCATTTTGAGAGGCAAGAGCAGCTCCAGCTTGGGAGAGAACATTTGCAAATCGTGGCAGCCACGGCTTAATGCCATCACTGGTGTGTGCGTGCATTCATGCTGGAAGCTGCTATAGAAAGGAAAAGAAATGAACCAACAAAATGTGGGGTATCTAAAGTTTCATCTAGTGCACTGACTGGAGGCGCTACAGTTTAATACAGCTGAGGTTCAAGTTCCTCACACATCCTTCATCCAGGAAGGATGTACCACACATTCAAATAGAATTCCATGGTACGCCCTGATGGACTGGCCACAAAATGCACTCAAATGCAGTAGAGAACTACGAGATTGTCAGCGAGCAGTGCTCCAGAAATTGTTTCTAAGTCATGTCTAGTTTTAAATCTTTGGAATAAAACGGATTTTTTTTTTTTAATAACCTCCAACTAACATATACATAATTGCCTCTGACAAATGGACTGACTTTTTATGTGTGTGTGTTTGGGGTGTTTTTTCTTTTTCCTTTTCTTTTTTTATTTATTTTTTGTTCTTTTTTTGTTTTTTTGTTGTTTTTGTTTTTTGTTTTTTTTTTTTGTTTGTTTGTTTTTTGTTTTTTGGTCTAAATTGGAAAAAGGAACAAAGGGAAAGAAAATTCTTAGGGCCAGACCTCAAAATGCCCCAAGTGTCCAATTGGCAGCTACAGCATTAGTGATAAGGAGGTTCCTTTACCCTCAGACGAGTAGTTTCAACATTTCAGTGAAAAGCAAAGGTTGCACAAAGCTGAAAACCCAAAGGCCAAAGATCTTGAAGGTTGCTGTCATATATGTATTTGTGTTTCTTATATGATTATTTCCTTTTAAAGACTTCAGTTTTGCATCCCAAATATGTATGGGGTGGCATTTTAACAGTCAATGAGTCAAACAGTCAGAGGAGGACAGGAGGGGAGCCAGCTGGTGGGAGGAGCAGCAACCATGTGCGGACCAAATGCCATTTTTGTTTTTTAGACGTGTCTTGAAGGGATGGTCCCAGAAAATATACAAAATATACAATCTGTCCTAATAACCACCCCGCTTGCTTGCATAGGCCATTTGATGGTCCTAAAGGCAGTCTTTGGAGTTGAGGCCAGTGCCAGCTAGCTAGGAATGCGGGTAGAGACCAGTACTGGGTGTGAGTGTGGTATGACAAGGACTGTAGACCCCCGTGGAGTCAGCTTGCAGAGTGCATATGAGGCCTCTCTTGATCCTGGGTGTTCTAGGTCACGAGTCATGGTGAGCCTAGCCAAAAAACTTTAAAAAAAAAAAAAATCAGAAACATGTCTCTCCTTTTAGACAGCCCATGAGAGAAACACCTCAACCCTTTCCTTAAATGTCAACCCTTCGATCCCACAATGGCATTTTTGAATTGTGTACTGTAACAAGTGGGGTAATGTGAGCTCAGTGGGTATGAAAGAGGAAGATTGGGTGATGTTTTGTGAAGCCACTAGACTTGGAGGCATCCTCAGTATTCCCCACTCCTGGAAAGAGTGATATTTTTGGCTTTTTGTCAGGTCATAACCCAGAGTTAGATTAAATACGCAGCTGCCCTCTGACATTAGCGACATCTACGCCGTAACTGGTTACAGGGTAGCGATGACACACAGCACGGTGGCTGATCACCACGAGCTGAGGTCATCATGCCTCAGGGAGGACGAGAGAACTGTGATGTCCCATCTGATCGGCTGCTTCGAGAGCTGGACATCCAGGTGACGGGAGAGTCCTGGAGAGGTTTAGTCCATGGAGAAAAGATAAAACATCTAAGCTTCCAAATAAGCTTTTCAAGTTTTCGTTAGCAAAAACAGAGAGATTAAAAAGAAAAAATCTAGCACTGGCAATAAGGTGAGGCTCAAGGGATATACTGTGATTTATCATCAAGGACTTTATTCTCTTGGCCACTTTGCAGTCATGCTAGAAGTTTCCAGAATCCCTAGTGCATATGGTGTGCAAGAGTCAAAAAGTAAGAAAAGAAAAACTCCTCCCGTGAGAGTGAAGTCTAGAGAAATGCAGGCCAGAAAGGTATAAGGTGTTATTCCAGAGTCTGCCGCCGCTAAGGCCGTTGGGATCGACGCGAAAGATCTCAATCTAAGAAGAACCGAAACCACTCAACAGTTCCTCGAGGAAGTCTGACGCATGGAATAGGAGGACTTTTCACACACAAAGGACAAATAAACCAAGAGTTAATTTTGGCTACCAAACTGCAATTTGGTTTTCTAGGTCATTTTCCCCCAACTATTTAAAAAGAAACATTAGTGCTACACATATGCAACTGTAAGACGCTGGATTCTCCTATCAAGTTGCACCGAGAAGCAAGTTAAATAAGCCCCTCGGACTGCCGTCCACCTGCAGAGACGTCACATCCACTTCCTTTGCTTTCCATTGGCAACAGCGGGAAATAATTCCAATAGTGCTGAAGTAAGCAGCCAGTCTGCCTTGCTGAGTTCACCTGGTTTCCTTCTTCATCTTCTACCATCTGGCTAGGGCAAGGCATAAAGAATAGACGTATATATTTTAAATATAGTTGAGTGCATGACAGTGTGTGTGTCTGGGGGGTCTGCATGTGAGCGTGGATGTATGTGTGTGTGTACACAGAGGTTTATAAGTGAGAACTTTCTTCTGCGAGGCAATGGGTGCCCGCCTGAAGTCCAGCCCCCTGCTCACGGCATTTCCTTCAGACACTGGCTGACGCCATGGCAACTCCGGCCTTGACTTTTTTAGATATGTCTCTTCATGTGGAGGGCAAGATGGTCAGACCTGGAAAAACACCTAGGAAATATAAACAACAAGACGGCTATTAGAGGGGTTCAATGAAAGAACTTGACTTCCACCACTCCCTAGGAAACGATTACCTTTGCTCTAAAGAACAGTCACATGTGTTGAGAAATAGGGTGCTGTACTGGGAAGGTAAGCTCCAGGGTCAGAATGCCTGGGTTCAAATCCCAGCTTCTCCAATAGCTGTGTAATTCTGAGCACCTTAACTTCTCTATGCCTTAATTTCTTCCACAGTGAAGTGGGGATATTACATCTAGTGGGAATGATGTGCTTCACAGACTGGCTATGAAAATTACACCAGACGATCTGGGTAAAATCCTCAGAATACTACCTGACATACACTAAGATCTCAATGCATGTTAACCCTTATGATCATAATTGTAATTATTAAAAAAAA